AGCCGCGCCTAGGTGCATAGCATGAGGGTATGCCTTGTCCGTGCCTCTCGTCTCTGCGCCTGTCTGTACCTTATTTCATGAGTTTATGTCCTTCGTTGCCATGATGTAGGTAAGATGCGGTGGGTGTACACTAGATCTTACCTTAGAGCACGTCAGGTGGCCTTGCTTTGACATGCATAACGGTAGAGGGCACAACCATCTTCGGTACGGAAGCTGCGCTTCCTTTTCGCACCTTGGTATGAGGTGATGATCTCGTGTCGCCGCTTGCCACACCAAATGGAGGGAGAAAGACCAAAGGAGGGCCTTTCCTTCTTCAACGTGGAAGGTACCTACCTCACCTAACAATCAATCGCAGTTTTTTCTTTGATGTGAGTTGGCAGGGTGGCAGGTAAGGTATTCGGTTCGTGCCTTACCTTCCCAATGGAAGTCTGTTGGCTAGAAGTTGGAATGGGATGCAACAGCTTTCAACATAGAAGTAACAGCCCTGCCACTGGCCATTCCCGCTTCCACTGCCGCTTCCTTCTCGTTCTTCCCGTGGCGGTTCAAAGTACAGTTCCTGCAGCAATGGAAATCGCCCAGAATAGCCCAGCCATCAACCTACTTTAAGTACCAAAGGTATTCCCGGGCGAGATGGGAGGAACTTTAACAGATAGGCACGCAGGAAGCGCAACAGCCTCTTCCCTCAGTCTTCAGGCTTCAGCCTTCAGCCTTCAGGTGTCGCTCATCACTGCCCGTCTTAGCAAGAGCTGTTTGAGCGGCATCCTCGGCTCACCTTTCTTCTGGGCTGTCTTGAACCTGACGGAGCTCTTCCCATGCCCGGGCTTTACTAAGGTAAGCACCTAAGGCACTGAGCACTACCTATGTAAGCTAGAGGGGAGGAATAGTGCATACGAGGTATCCGCACGCTGCCCCGGACTGAGGTGCGTTTCTCGTCATTCCATTCCATTTCCTTATTAGCGGATGGCCAGGAGAGCTAACTTTAGCAACAGTGTCACGGCACTAACATGGGCGAAGACCTGGGCTAGAACACGCTGCGCCAGAAATCTGGACCGTTCATCGAGCGATCAACGCCTGGTGCTATACCACACAACTCTGTTCTTGTCTTCTCCAACCAAAGCTGTCGACTCTGTCTGACTTCTCTTCCCCGCCGTTTCTCGGCCTGCCTTACCAAGACGGCCGGGCACTGTTATGCACAAACAGCTATCCGTTTCGTTGCTATGCAAAATGTTGTTGTGAGACGACTGTTCGTGTCCACGATGGAAATTACTGGTAAAGGTCCACCGTCCAGTACCTACCCACCTAGGTACCCTGCCCAACCGTTTACACTAGCGGACGCCAGCTCCAAGTTTACGGAGCTGCTACGGAGCATCCTCCATCCACGAGAGATGGCGATGTGTCGTCTTGATCGTCGGTCCCGTCCACTCGCGAATTACTCGTCAACGGGATTACCCCCAATGGATCGCACCCTTGGGTCTTTGACGATTCGACCTGGATGCTTGAAGGCTTGAGCAGCAACTTCCCAGCAAGCAGCCCCATCAACAACAAAGGAACGGACGCCAAAATAAACCAATTGGCAATTCCCCCTCAAGAAACGGAGCCACATGCCACGGAGCGATGGTCCAGAACAACATCAACAATCAAAGTAGAAACCAATAGGTCGCACATGACGAATCGACGATGGCCTCACGGACGACAGCATCCCCTCTCATATCCGCTCCAAGCCTGTCAGCATCATTTATTTCCCTCCCAATCCTTTCTTGAATCCCACATGGCACATGTCCCGCCTGCCGCCTGCCCTCCTTTTTCCTCCACTCCGAGCGGGCTCTAATTATTTCGCTTCCCGCTCTCTGCAGCGTGAGGCCCCTGGATTGGGAAATCATCCCCGCGTTTCATTGGCTCGTCCCATGACCCAACAGAGTACGAAGCATCGTCGGAAAACCTTCTTTTGAACTTTTGAATTGCTTTCCCGCCTACCTTGGTACTCGATATTGGTACCTTGGAGTAAGACATGTGCCATTTGGGGACCGCGCTCATTACGACCTTCTTCCAATGGATACATTCAACCTTATTAGTGCGACGTTGCAGCATGCAGTGCCGCTGCAATTGCCAATAGCCTTCCTATGGTCCATGGGGCATGGGGCATGGTCCGGGACCCTTCTTTTTGTTTCCCCGGCAAGAATCAAGAAGGAAGACTGCCCAAGACGGGACGGAGTATTACATCTCGAAAATTTCTCTGCCAACATATGACCTGCATGGACTGTCAATTCAAGGGCGGGAAATTTCCAAAAACTCAACCTTCTTTCGGCTGGGGAAATTACATGGCGGCTCACTCCCACGTCGATCCTGGAGGCCGCGTCAACAAACACCCAAAAGCACCCAAAGGCACCCGTGACGATGCACCAATTACCGAGCACACTTCAGTTGATGGCGACCTCCATCAAAGATGCGAAGAATACGCAGAGATGCGCGGTCCCTTCATTGCCAGCCGCGTTCTATACCTGAGTATCCGGATTCTCGGCTATCTGTATCCATGTTCCTCATTCACCCAACATCATTGGCAACTTTCAGCAGCCGTCCGACTTACGGTACAATGCCGTGTATACCAACCTGTCAGGTCGTTTCAGCCTGCGGCCATCATCCCTCCTGTCGGTGCCTCTGCCGTTCGTTCATTCGTCGCACTTGGGGTGCCCTCAGATGAACCCATTTTAACGGTTCATATGGTCGCGACCAATGATGGGACGTAAAGACTCCCCCAACTTGCAGCTTCCGCCATGTGAATACGGAGTAATCATCATTCCTTTTCTGAAGGGTCTTTTTTCTCCTCCTCTTTCCACGCAATAGTGTGGTACGAATGCATAAGATATCTGGGACACAGCTCCTGCGGTGCATTCGCTGCGGACTCGGATATTCTGCCCATTGGCATTTTCTGACAAAAAGAACTCCCCTTCCCCCAGTTTTTTTTTTTCCTTCTTCTCCGTCCTCCTCCACCATCCCCTGCATGCAAAGTGCAAAAGATTCAGGAACGACGTTACCCTCGCGATGGGCTTCTAGCTTCTGTGAGACAAGTGGCTTGTTTCGCGCCCGACTCAGATGCACGAATGGGGCCACCCACAGAGCACCACATTTATTGGACACTCTTTTTCACCAATACGAGGGTTGACTGCTCGCGTGGCTCGTGTTTTCCGTACGCATCGATCACGGCCGCGATGCGGCGGGTGGTGTTGGAGTGGCGAACTAAAGCGATGGACGTCGTCAATCGTAAGGGAGGTCTAGAACTTCACTGCAATTCCCTCCGTCCAACGTCGTTCAAACTTCAGCACATCTCGTCCCATCTTTTTTGCTCTGCCGACTCCCACCATTCCGGCCAAGGTGACCAAGCCACATACATTTGGCAGGATGGGCCCCCAGTTACAGCTTCCGATCCATCCCACCAAATCGCAGCCCAAATCACATTAAACAAAGCAAGCCTCTTCCTTGGCGGCATGAAGTTCTCTCGTCTGGTCACGACTCACTGTGGCGCGCATAGTGGTAACTGCTACAGAAACATGATATCACCCCCCCCCCTCCCTGCATCTTGAGTGCAGCCATTTACGTGGCGACGGCGACGAATGAGGACCTGCGTAGTTGAAGATATTCGTTCTTAACTGTCTGGTGTAAAACTTCCTTGTTGCTCCCCGGCATATACCTCAGCCCAGAACGTGATGCATGAGGTAAGGTACCTAAAGTACTCTGTAGACAAAACTCAGTTTGCCATCTCGCCAACATCTGTCCGCCGCGGGGTGTGCTCCCCCCCCAAACATTCTATACCCGTACGAATATGCAGTCAGTTGTCCTATCAGTAGAAACCTGTTTTTGTAGGCATCTTGAAACCCAGCTTCTCCAGTCGCCCTACAAGGCATCTTTCTTCTCGCCATTTAGAGTTGCTTGTCAGTATCAGATACATCACTCCCCCCCCCCCCAACCCAAAAAAAAAAAAAAAACGTCGTCCCGGAATCCTTTTTTTTGGTGGTATATCTCTCACCTCTTTGCAGAGGGTAGTAAAGCAAAACGCCGTTTAAGACGGATGGACGGCTGTGAACTGAGACCGTTTACGAAGTTTTTCTTCATTTGTTTTACAAGAGCTGAAGCTCGTGGCAAAAGATGTGCTATAATTGTCCTACCTTACCCTTAACGTCGCATTTTTTCCATGAGCCGCAGCAATTGTTGGCCAAGTGGTCGATCTTCGTCGTCAACTTTGCCTCCCACCAGCTTGCGTCAACGGCACAACGGAAGGGGAATAAAGTTTTTTCTTCTCAGCTGAATAAGATGCTCAGCTTGTTTTCGAGTGTAAAAGTGTGGTATATTTAGACTGAGCCGTTTTTGTTCCTCGTGATCTGCCTCGTCCGCACTTTAAGGGGGGAAAAACCTGATTGCTAGAAAACACAAAAGACCTATCGGCCCCGCCCGCCATTTGCTGCGATTCGGCCCCCCGTTTCCTGGGCCCTCCGAGTAGGGAGGCGCAGCTGCAAAAAAATACGCCATCCATCGTTCAACGCCACCTTCCGACCTCCCCACACGCCCGTGGTTTCTTAGACCCTACCGAGGCTCAGATGCCAGGCAATCGGTAGAAAATCGTTTTGTGATGATTTCGGTGAGTAAAGTAGAGTGGTTAAGGTGGTTGTTGGAGGGGCAATTATCTGGCAAAGGCCCCATGGAGCCCTTCATCTAGCCCCTCCAAGGGTAGCTTTCCTCTAAGAATAGCTTCGTATGAGCCTCTTTGCTCACGAGGCAACACCATCCGCGGGGTTCCGCTTCGTTACCATGAGCAAGGTCGGATGGTCGGAGTGAGTATGGAAGCTGTGGACGTGGGGGGAACCCCACATCTTCTCAATCTCAAGTCTTTACCATCGATCAGAGTGACGTGTCTGCCCCAAAATAGTATTCCTGAGTTGCTCCAGGCGACGTCAAGCTCGTAAGCTGAACACCACAGCTTACACGTGCACAGGGCAAGTATACCATGCTCATCGCCTTTGTCCACCAAAGCTTGCGCGGAGCGCCAGAATTTGTTGTCTCTCTGCCTCCGGGAGCATGTTGATCGTCTCCATCGGCAGTTCCATAACCTGCCGCATGAGAGCGTCGGGGTCTTGACCCAGAGGTGCAGCAACCGGCGGAGGTGCGCCGTAGGGAGCTTGCTGCGGGGGAGGCGCGTACGGCGTGCCGGCGACGGGCGGGGTGTTATTAGCTCCCATCACGGGAACCGGCGGGAAGCCGGGGGTGGGCTGGGGCGGGTAGCCGATCGGCGCGGCCTGCGCTGGGGGCGCAACGGGCGCGCCGCCGGGCTCTATGACGGAGTGGATCGCCTCGGGAGACACCAGACCCATGAGCAGGAGGGCCTGGAAGACGGCGTATGCCAGCTGTGGTGCCTGTTGGAGGAGTTCCGTCGCCCTGGCGGGGTCGGTAGAGGCCAGTGCCTTCATCTGTGTGAGGATATCGAGGAGTTGGGACGGGGGAAGTGTGTTGAGAGTCCGCGAAATGGCGTCGGTCGCTGTGACATTCGGGGGAAGCTCCTTGCCGGCTGGAAGAGGAGGCAGCGTACTCGACTGCATCGGCGGCGCGACAGGGTTGTATCCGTTCGAGGCGTGGGAGGGGTTGCCGCCATCTCGGCCCTGCTTCAATTGTCAGAGTCTTCAGAGTCGAACTTCAAAGGCCAATTTGTATCCCTATACTCACGTGTCCGTGGCTATCATTGTTGTCATCACTGCCGCCTTCATTAGAAAAGTCGACCCTAAGTTTCCTCCCCATAATCTCGTAGTCGTTTAGGTTGCGGACAGCCGATGCCGCTGAGTCTATGATGGGTGGTCAGTCATTTCTATATCTTAACGAAATTAGAATGCTCCTGAGATACCATTGTCTGGGTATTCTGCGAAACCGAAACCCTTGGGCCGTCCGGTTTCGCGGTCGTAGACTAGGCGGAAGTTGAGGACCTTGCCGGCGCTGCTGAAGATGTCGCTGATCTGCTCCTCGGAAAGGCCTAGAACAACTGGTTAGATACGAAGAGTATTTTGAGATGCCCATTCCTACCATAGGGAATGTTGCCCACGAAGACAACTCTGGAAGGCGGCTTCGACATCGCGGTATGAAGGTTCGATGGTCGGAATGCAAGACTCGCTCAGTGCACGCTCGCCAACGCGATCAAAGGGATGTTGGGTATCGCGTCCGTAGAAAATGTTCAGTTGGTCTTGTTCCAATTTCAATTCCTCGATTCAAGATGTCGTGGGTATCAATTCGATTTAGTCAAAAGGCGGCGCAATGGTGATGATTTCTTGGAGGTTGCCTTTTGGGTCAGAAAGCACTGCATTCCCCAGCCTTGACTGCCAGGCTGGGATTTTACAGTGGGGATGGGAACTGCGCAGCTTAAGCACGAGCCATCTAATTCTGGATTGCTTCTAGTGGTCTAACGGCATCCTCCATTGGCCAACGGCCGACAATTACCCAGGGACCCGGTCCCACCCGCCCCGTGCGAGACCCCTGACAAGATGCACCTTTAGCGCAATTGAGAGCTGGACCGTGGACGGGCTGCGTGGCCAGAAAACGAGTGAAGGTGGCCTCTACTTGACTTTGGATTTGCGCAACTCCCAAGGCTTTGTGAGATCCAATCCTCTTACCTTGCTACCAACTCGACTTTCTCGCGTCGACCCTTCTCTTCTCATGGTTCAGGCGGGGTCTCTCACTTCCTGATATCACCTTTTACCTCTCTGTCACTCCTTTTAGCGTTTTTCTGCTTGGCGCATTGTTGCGAAAGTACGACTTTTGGCCTACTCCCGCGGATTCTTCCCATAACGCTTGCGAGGCTACCGCAAACTCGCAATAGAGATCGACAGCTCTAAGATAACACACACCTCCTCCCGAACTCACCATGCCGGCAAAATCGAGATTCACGAGGCTCGACGCCTTCACAAAGACAGTCGACGAAGCACGCATCCGCACAACGTCTGGTGGAATTGTCACTATCGTGTCGCTGATCGTGGTCTTCTGGCTGGCCTGGGGAGAATGGGTTGACTACCGGAGGATAGAGATCCACCCCGAGTTGATCGTGGACAAGGGACGAGGTATGAAGCCCTGGCAGTCTGTCCTATTCAGTACGGGTAGTAGGAGCTAATATGTGCCCGGTAACAGGCGAGCGCATGGAGATCCATCTCAACATGACGTTCCCTAAGATGCCCTGCGAACTCCTCACCCTGGACGTCATGGATGTTTCTGGCGAGCAACAGCACGGCGTTCAGCATGGTATCAACAAGGTTCGCCTTCGTCCCCAGAAGGAGGGTGGTGGCGTCATTGACGTCAAGGCCCTGGATCTGTAAGTTGTTACAAACGTCGCCTTCTGCCGGGGAGCTTTTTCTAACACCTTCCGCCAGTCACTCTCGCGACGAGGCTGCTGAGCATTTGGACCCCAACTACTGCGGCCCCTGTTATGGTGCCCCGTCACCGGCGAACGCGCAAAAAGCCGGATGCTGCAACACCTGCGAGGAAGTCAGAGAGGCGTACGCGCAGGCTTCGTGGGCTTTCGGTAAGGGCGAGAACGTCGAGCAGTGCACGCGCGAGCACTACGCCGAGCGACTGGAGGAGCAGCGCCAGGAGGGCTGCCGTATCGAGGGTAACCTGCGTGTCAACAAGGTCGTCGGAAACTTCCACCTTGCCCCTGGCCGTAGCTTCAGCAACGGAAACATGCACGTTCACGACCTCAAGAACTACTGGGACACCCCCTCCGATGCCCAGCACGACTTCACCCACACCGTTCACTCTCTGCGCTTCGGCCCCCAGCTGCCTGACACCGTCACCAAGAAGATGGGTAAGCGCGCCGCTGCATGGACGAACCACCACGGTAACCCTCTCGACAACACCCATCAGGAGACCAACGACCCCAACTACAACTTCATGTACTTTGTCAAGATCGTGCCTACCTCATACCTCGCTCTCAACTGGCAGAAGGGCTCCAACCCCGAGGAGGAGAACTCTGGCCTCGGTCTACTCGGCCAGGGAAGCGATGGCAGCGTCGAGACTCACCAGTACTCCGTCACGAGCCACAAGCGCAGCTTGGCTGGTGGCGATGACTCTGCCGAGGGACACCAGGAACGCCTCCACTCTCGTGGCGGTATCCCGGGAGTCTTCTTTTCCTACGTAAGTTACTCCATACCTGCGTCTTCGCCTTCCGTCACTCACATGAATGTGTCCAGGATATTTCTCCCATGAAGGTCATCAACCGCGAAGAGCGCGCCAAGACCTTCACTGGTTTCTTGACTGGCCTTTGTGCCATCATCGGCGGCACTCTTACCGTCGCCGCTGCTGTTGACCGTGGTGTCTTCGAGGGTGGACTGCGTCTCAAGAAGATGCGCTCCAAGGACATGTAGATTAAAGAGATGGGAGACCTGAGGTTGTAAGTAGTCAATATGTGGTGGAATTATCTCGTACGCTGTGCATCAAAAGTGGAGTTTGGGTGGCTTGGTAAAGAGGGCTTCATCGTTTCAATCAATACATAAAGGTCAAATGTGCCATTGTAGTTCATGTGTCCATCAGTCTCCATTCACGTGCCATGCCTATCTGTACATATATCCTGTACAAGGCAATGGAATCTTTCTGTTATGCAAATAATTCCCTAGCGAATTCTAAGCCATTTCGAGGTAACAATGTCAGCTTGCATTAAAGTCATTTCTTCAATACAATACATGATGTTGACTTTGGGCCTCTGCAGGAATTTACAGGAGAACAAGCATGCTCATGAAGGCTTGGGATTCATCATTCGTCCGTGGAGCATGGCCTCAACTGACGGAACGAGTCTTGTGCTGTGGGAATGTTGCAGTTTCTGTGGAAACTCACTTAGGGTGGAAATGCGCCCGCTCCCCCTTCCTGCTTACTCTAGGCCTACAACATGGGCTGTCAGGGATGCCGTTCATACTTTTCCAGTTCCCAAATCAATAGAGGTGAACGCCGAGACAGAGATATCACAGCTTGGAAGAAAAACCTAGTAGAAAAGGGATTTAAAGAGTATCGAACAGTAGAGAGAAGAAAGAAAAAGAAGAATACGCTTGTGGGATTCGAACCCACAAGCTACAGCCCGGTAAATCTGCTCTCAAGATTTGGTTATTACCTATCTTTGTCTTCTGGGTAACTTTCCCTTTCTTGCCGTTGAGGTTTTCTGAGGTGAATCAGACAGCCTACCCCACGCTCGTGTATTCCCGTGTATTGGGAAAAAGAAAGAAAAAGGCAAGAGAAGTTAAAAGAGTTCACCCGCCCGGTGGCGAACGGGGGCTACATCTCTGGTGCTCATGCTAGGACTCGAACCTGGAACCTAGTATAGGATAAGCCAGTTGATAAGGCTCGCCCGTAACCATCCCGCTAAACGGCAGTCTGACCTGACCTCACAAGCCTGTGAGGTGCCTGCTGCCGCCGGTGACGAAATTGGACTTGGCGGGACCTACATGGGCTTCCCCGGTGTAGTATTCGTTCCCGTGTATTCATGGCTCCAATGGGGGTCAACGGGAAGTTGAATGGCCCGGACGCCAGGAGACACCCACGTGAAATACCGAAAGTGTTTGCTACAGCTCTACTGCCGCCCTTTAAGTCGAGAGGAGAATACCCTTTGAGCATGACGGTTTATCCACTGTGCATTGTTCCTATCTAGATATGAAAACGGGAAGCAGACCCTGGTGTTTTGAACGTGGACTAGCTAGAAAGCCTGCCGCCCATCATTTTGATCTCGTCCCTTAGTCATGCTATTATACGTCTCAAGAATACTGTATACTTTCTATCAAACTTACTAGGTACGGAACGTACAATCTTCCACTTTAGAAGTACTAGGTGTAAACTATTGCTGCTTTTGTCATCGCCGACATGATGATATTTTCTGAACTTCTTCATTCTCCGTATCATACTCTCATCGTGTGCTCCAGAATATCAAGGAAACAGATCATACTCACAGTGGAAGCTGTAAAGGTGATCGTAACTGAAAAGGGGGCGGACGAGGCTGTATTCTCGTAGCGCTAGTCACTCTGTAGGTTAGATAATGACATGCCATCTTTTTGGCATGTCTTCACCCAGATACTGGCTCCACGGCTACTCAATCAATAGTCATCCTGGGATAATAATTCTTTATCGAATCATCATCATGATTAAGAAGTGGTGACCCAATAGTGTACTTTTGGAGTGGAATGTCATATTTCGTGACATACGCAAGCGGGTGACAGAAGTAGTATGCGAGTCTACACACAAGTGACCGCTGTTGCGCAAGTTCGTGCTTCGGGCCTCACTATACCATGTATGGCTCACGCAGCTCATATCTCGCCATTCCTCAAATCCGTCCCACGTTCTTTGTCATTTGAAGCTCATTCGGCTTCGTTGCAGCATGAAAGTAATCTTAACACACTAGCTCGCAATTGGAGACACAAAACGAGACGTCGGATTGCCATATTATGGATACTTTAAGGACACGAGTGAGCCGAAATAGTTGCATCGTCATGAATCATTCTTTTGATACCCGAGCCGCGTACTGGTTTATACCACGCAAGAAGCTTCGATAAAATAGCCTCATTCTCTCATAAACCACTTGTGTCCAAACACCCCAACTCCACAATTGGATCCAGTGGCTCTAAACTGAGTGACAAGCAAGTCAAGGAAGTAGAGAAGACGATGGCAATATCCTACACTGGTTTAAGAAGAAGAAAAAAGAAAAAAAAAAAGTAAAGGGCTACGAAGGTGACATCGCAGCACCTTTTGTGACGAGAAACTCATCCAAGGCCGTAGCTTGTGCCGGCGTATATCCGTTTCCATTACTTGAAGCAGGTACGGGCGTTTCCGTCACCAAGCAGACCGTGTTCTGTAAAGCGCGATTAGCCACTTGTATTCTTTGATGGTAATGGATCAAATCTCGGCGGGAAAACAGCAGATCATGCGCCAACTTACCATTCCTAGAACTGCGGCATCCAGTCGATCAAACATCCTCCACAAACGATCGTTATTCTTCGTAAAGACGTAGCCAGCCAAGCCGACAGGGGTGTCGTTCGCCCTCATCACAACCTCGTCTTCCGTGTCGAACACGTACAGGCCTAGCACCGGGGCGAACACTTCCTCACGACACATCAGCATCGAGTCCGTCATACTACCCAATACAGTCGGCGCCATGAAGTACCCATCACCAGGCTCTCTCCTCCCCGTGCCGAGAAGCTTGACGGCCCCCTTTTCCGTTGCGTCCTTGCACAGCGCCTCCACCTTGTAAAGCCCGCGAATCGTGGTCAACGGGCCCAGCGTCGTGTCCTTCGCCATCCCGTGCCCAACCTTGAGCTTCGACGCCTCCGCCACTAGCAGCGTGGAAAACACATCATAGACCCGGCGCTGCACGTAACACCGGTTCGGCGCGACGCAAGCCTGCCCCGCGTGCCTCCACTTCAGCGCCGCCAGATCCTTGGCCACCTGCCCGAGGTCCGCGTCGTCGAACACGACGGCCGGACAGTTGCCGCCCAGATCGAGGGACAGACGCTTCAGGTTCCGCGTGCACGAGGCGGCGACCCGCTTTCCGATGCGCGCGCTGCCCGTGAAGCTCACCGCCTTGACGAGCGGGTGCATGCACAGCGCTTCGGACACCACGGGCGTGTTCCCCAGGCTCGTCGTCAGGACATTGAGGGCGCCGGCGGGGAAGCCCGCGCGGTCGGCGAGGCAAGCGAGGGCGAGGGCCGTGAGCGGGGATTCGGAGGACGGTTTGACGATGACGGTGCAACCGGCCGCCAAGGCTGCCGCGGCTTTGCGGAGGGTGAGGGCGAGGGGAAAGCTCCATGGCACCAGGGCGAGAACGACGCCGATGGGCTGCTTGAGGAGGGCGCCGCGCTTTCTCGGGAACACGCCGGTCGCGGGTGTCGAAGCCGGGACGGCGCCGTCATCGTCGGATGTGGGGGAGGAGACGCGGGATGCGGCCGGCGACGGTAATTGTGGAGTTGTTGTCGGTGGTGGAGGCGGCGGCGGCGGCGGCGGCTCCAATCGGTCGGCTTCGCCGGCGAACCAGCGGACGAGACCGGCGCCGTAGTCTACTTCGGCGAGGGCCTCGGTCAACGGCTTCCCTGTTTCGTGGACGAGAATTGTGGCCAGGTCGAGTCGGCTAGCGAGGATAAGATGATGCCATGAGGTCAGGAGGCGAGCGCGCTCATAGGCCGGGGTATGCTTCGAGAAGCCCTGGAAGGCGACGTAGGCGGATTTGACAGCGGGATTGACGTCGTCCCTGGTGCTATCCGGACATGTCGCCCATACGCGACCGGTGCCCGGGTCAAGGACCGCGAAGCGCTTGTTACTGAGAGAGGCGACCCATTCGCCGTGGATGTGGCAGTCGCGGCGGAGCAGGTCCACGTCCGTCAGTCTGAACGGGAGCGGGAACGATGGCGAGATGGGTGTGAGGCTGTGGATGACGAGGCTGTTCTTGTGGCTCTTGGCTGTTGATGTGCCGGAGGATGAGGTGCTGGCTGTCGTGATGGTGCTCGCGACGGGGGATGTTACCGCGCTGATCATTGTTGGCGAGAATGAGACCCTTCGTCGATGGGAGGAGTAGTCTTCCCGACCAGGCTGGGCAACGGAATGCCTCCGCATCGGACGCCCTATGAGGTGAGGAATGAGTGGATTTGGCAACACATACACATACAAACACGATATGGTGTCGAGAAACCGGTTTGACTTGGGACCCAAGGAAAGGGGACGCAAACACCTACTGGACTGCTGGTAATATTAGCAAAGCTGACGAGGCGCCCGTCCAGGTCCTGGGTGATTCGGGACACGGCGGAGAATTTCTCCCCTCTCCTCACGGCGTGGCATCGGTGCCCGACTGTTGCATAGAGGTAGACTTTGGGGGAAGGGATCCGAGGTCGAATGAGATCTGCGAGGCCGGGAACATTCATGTTTTAAACTCTGCCCCTAGGCGTCATCTGAAGCTTCATGTCGGTGTTGTTGCAAAGTCTCCCATAATAACCTACCCCTGGCTTCGAGTAAGCGGCCCAAGCTCCGTGCTTGCGGCTTTCCTTTCCCCCCCTCCCCCTTCTTCTTTCCATGTCCGAGACCGAGACAAGCGGGCCGCCCCGGATTTGCAGCTTTCAATCCATCTAGGGCAAGTGGCAAGTCACAGAACGGATTTGGTTATGTTGGCTCGGACTTATTATGAAGAGAAGGACGGCGTTCATCTGAGCTCGGGTAGGACGCGGTTGACAAGTAATGCGGTTCTGAAGAACTTGAGGGGAAAACCGTTCAGGAAAAAAATGACAAGATTCGGATGATAGGAGAAGAGCTGAGCGCTCACGAACTGAGTACTAGCGGGAGTTAACAATCCGGGGTTGACGGAAATGAGCCACATGAGCCAGAGAAGCGTAGTATTTAGTGAAAACTTTGAAGAGTGTGTCTCCCACCGGCAGTGCTCTTTTCTAACACTTTCTCAAACAAGAGAACAGATGTTTGCTACGACGTCTAGTAATAGGACGTGCTTGCGCTCCTGTAATCCGGTCTCGATTCAGGATATCCTCCAGGTGGCCCAGAGACACCTTTGCCTTCGTCATCGGAGCTCAGGGCGTCTCCGTAATCGTCACTTCTCTCAGGCGGCGCGCGCATGGCTTCCAAGATGCTGCGATCCAACACTGGCGGATGATACGGCTTGAGGGTGTGTATCTCACGGCCAGATGGCATCTGAGCCAGCAAGGGACCAATCGGAGGCACGATCTGGACGTTCATCTATGCATAAATTGTGAGCCTCACAGTCTTGACCTTGGACGTAACGTGGCTTACCGTGTCATTGAGCTTGTGCCACTTCCCTTCAAGCAGCTCGATCACCCTCGTCTCCTCGCCCTTTCCGCCGTCCGCACCCCACGTTGTCTCCTTTTCGACCTTGCGATCCTCGCGTTTCTCGCTCCATTCCTTTTTGAACCGGCTGAAGCCACTACCTTTGGCTGAATGTTTAGACTCAACGCCTAATTCTTGGAGCCCGGCCTGTAGCCACGCGATGGCTGTGCCAACTTGGCCACTAATCTCCGAGTCTATGCCAAAGAAACGGCAAGCCTTTGCGCGACACGTTCTTCGCAGATCCTCGAGATAGCGAAGCAGTCCCTCGTTGATCTTGCTGGAACCCCGCCCCGCAGCTTGGCAAAGAGACGAGGCTTGGGCGGCGTGCTCCGCAGCAGCAAGACAGAGTCGTGCAAACAAGTGGGCACGAACTTTTGGAATCTCGGGGGCTTTAAACATCCATTCGCGGTCGTTCTTGTTGCGGTCTTGTGCGACAATGGCTGGGTAAGGATCGTCCTTGAGAACCGCCAATAGTGTCGCCTCGGCGAGAGCCAAGGACGACATGGCTCGAAGAGTCGAGGGTGATACATCGCTGCAGGGTGGCGGAATCTGAGTTCTTTCAGCCCGGGAAGCTATATAATCGTATATTGATGCGGCGTCCAGGAGGTATTTGGTCGCTGTTTGAATGGAAGCTGTGCGCTGCTGATTATCCAACGTGGCCTGTGTTGTGGTGTACAACGGGTGAAGGGCTGCTCGAGCAACCAGGGTGTATGAATTTGCTAGAGATGAAAGAGTGAAGGCGATTTCATGATCTATAGACTGCACCTTCACCCTCGATCGCTCCCTGCCGGGCACTGCGTTTTCTGAAAGCGTTGGTCGCCATTCGATGGAAGGCGGCGCCTTTGTGTTGAGGTTGATCCAGTCGCCTGACTGAGATGTCGGGTTTAGTCCACCATCAATGGCGAGAATATAAGGGATGTAGCCATTGAGAGCTCCAATGACTGTCGAAACGTGGGATGATTGCGATGATGGGGGTAATCTCTTATGTTTCTTGAGAGCATCTCTCACAACCCCGCGATATGTGCTGGAACTGAGGGGCAATGAGGGGTGAGTGTCGCTGTTAAAACTTGATGAGAATGAGAAGGCCGAAGTTGTCGGAAGAACAAAAGGGAAAGGCATATTCAGAAAGAGCTGATTACCAGCCGAAGACAAGATGGCGTAGAATGAGAAATGTGTATGAGAGTCAAGGATCGTCCACTCACTAACATGGAAAGCTGCCAAAGAGACAAGTACCTCGCTGTGACGTTAGATGTCCCGGATTACCTAAAGTAGCCGATTGAGGCTAACCCATCTTAATTTGTCGACCCCAGACTCGGTCACGTGTTTGAGACTAGCATTCCCCGGTTGCGATGTAAGGTAGATGACCGAAAGCTGAGCTGCTACAGGCTAAGGTATTGCTGAAGCTCGGATTCGAAATGGCAAATCCTGAAGCCATGTAACTTTACGTTCGACATAGGAAGCCATCAGTTCCTGACTTTGAGATTCAAGCCCTTAATCGTACAGGGTCAGGGTTGTATCTCATCAGATCACACAAGTAAAGTACCTAGGCAGATGGCCACTGATATGGATGTCATACCTAACGATGCAGACTATGCTGGGAACAAATTCCACTTGGGGTTTGAGAGAAATGGCATGGCAAACAAGGAAACCCACATTATCGCCTTGTTAATCACAAAAGCCCTAAGCTGTCCCTGCTTCTTTGAAGAATTCATGGAATGTTTGGAACAAGGGAACGGCTAGCGGCAGGAAGGTACCTGGCGATCCCAACCTGCCTTTAGCGGCCGGGATGTGGGGACCTTAGGTACAGGTTGATTGATGCACCAGCTGTCGGGTTTGTAAACGCGACGTGGACCCTTGAATTTCAGCATCACCTCAGTGAACCTCCCACTGCCACCACGACCTTGACAAAGCCGATTCGCCGCCTTCAGGCAATTATTCACCCCCTTCTGGCACCTCATGCCGCACATCGTGTCCCGACTGGATACCGACTGAGCTGCTATCATGATCAGTCCATCTCCCCACAAACCGCGGCGCAGAGGCGGCAAGAAGACCAATGGTGGAAATGGCCCCGGCAGCAGTACAGCTACCGTGGAAAGCCACCTCACCAAAAAGGAGGCTCTGGTCAAGGCCCCGATCTTCCCTCTGGCTTCGTTTCTGTGGCCAGCTCGAGGCTCCGTATCGCAATGGGAGGTTCTTCCCCTGATCCTCATGGTGGTTGGCCTGTTTAGATGGGCAGCTGGCCTTTGGGGATACTCTGGTAAATGCGCTCTGGAACACCGTTGAGAAGTGACAGCTCTTGCTAACCATACCACTCGTCTTAGGTTTCCAAAGACCACCCATGTTCGGAGACTACGAGGCGCAAAGACACTGGATGGAGATCACAACACAAATTCCCGTCTCGCAGTGGTACTTCCACGACCTGCAGTGGTGGGGTCTCGACTACCCGCCCCTGACGGCATACCATAGTTGGCTCTGCGGCAAGGTTGGGGCCTTCATTGACCCTACTTGGTTCGAGTTGTACACCTCGCGAGGATCCGACGACCCGACTCTGAAGATATTCATGCGCGCCACGGTCATTATCTCCGAGTACCTCATATACGTTCCCGCTGCCGTCATCTTCGTGCGACGCTTCTCCAGACTCAGCAATGTGCCGACATGGACAGCTTGGATGGCGCTCGTCGCAATTTTGATGCAGCCCGCTACGATTCTTATCGACCACGTTCACTTTCAGTACAACACTGTCATGCTTGGACTCGTCCTGGCGAGCATGTCGAGTATGGTTGCTGGCCGCTATCTCTGGTCTGCAGTCTTCTTCGTCGCCGCCCTTGGCTTCAAGCAGATGGCCCTCTACTACGCCTTCTCCGTCTTCGCGTTCCTCCTAGGCAGCTGCGTTTTCCCTCTGAAACCGGGCCGCTTCATCGGCATTGCCCTGGTGACCGTCGCGGCTTTTGCCCTCTTGCTTCTGCCCCTCGTGCTGGGCACCCTCTACGACGCTCATCGAGGCATCGACGCGCGGCCTGACTATGAGGGACCACCGCCTGCCTTGCCCCTATTCCCGTGGCTGACCGACGTCCTCGATACCAACGCCATCTACTACCCGGTCGTCGAGCAATTGGTGCAGATGGTTCATCGCATCTTCCCCTTTGCGCGCGGTCTCTTCGAAGACAAGGTCGCCAACTTCTGGTGTGCCGCCAACGTCGTCATCAAGCTTCGCAACTACCCTCCAGAGCTTCTCCAGCGAGGCGCACTTGTGGCCACACTGGCCTCAATCATTCCGCCCAACCTGATTTTGTTCTTCCGTCCGCGCAAGTCACTTCTTCCACTGGCCTTCGCAACTACGGGATGGGGTTTCTTTCTCTTCAGCTACCAAGTACACGAGAAGAGTGCGCTACTCCCCCTCATGCCCATGACCATGCTTCTAGCCGGTAAGCACGGGCTGTCGCGAGACATAAGGGCTTGGGTCGGATTTGCCAACGTCTTGGGAGTTTGGACGATGTTCCCCCTCCTTAAGCGGGTGGACCTCAGCGTCCCGTACGCCGTCCTGACATTGCTGTGGGCATACCTTCTTGGTCTCCCGCCAACGTCTCTGAGTGCCTACTTCCAGGAGGATCACGGCAAACTGCGCCAGTGGGCAACATTCCTTCTCCACGGCGCCTTCTACGTTGCTATGATTGCGTGGCATGTGGCCGAGAGAGTTGTGGTGCCGCCCATTGACAAGCCCGATCTCTGGGTCGTCGCAAACGTCGGTGTCGGTGCGGTGGGATTCAGCATTTGCTACCTCTGGTGTCTGTTGCAATTGATTGTGCAGAGTGACATTCTGCCGACGAGAGGAGGCGCGAAGAACAAGGCAAAGAGCCAGTAGATAGAATGGTCGACTAGCAATAGTCTTGTACATGACAGATGGACGACTCTCTGGAGGAAGAGAGCTCATGTAATAACAGCGCGGATTTCAAAGAAAACAAACGAGCATCGGAAAAGCAAGGTTTTTGTTTTGATAAATTGTGGTGGATAGTATATAAAAACACTTTTGAAGGCCGAAAAAGATGCTATTCTACCACCTGGCGATGCACCTCAATATCTAGGAAGAACAGAAGGAAAATAGGGAATCTCATGATTATCGACTATCGCCTAGTCCTGACCGACTTTATATCTTTCCCAGAGGCAACGGTTATGATGATGTCCTTCTGGTGTTTGCGAATCACGAAACCTGCACAAACGCCCTCTTCTTGACAGCTCGGCTCTCATCGCCATCATCCCAATTCTCGTCGACGTAGTCCTTGACGCTCCTCTCCTGGATTTGCATACCGACGACCTTGAGGGCGGCAATGTTGAAGCCCATCTCGTCCTTTTGGCGCTTCAGCGCGGCGCGCAAATTGGCGCGGATGCCGTCGAGCATGCCACGCATGGTGCGGCTGGCGACGATCTGGCGGTGGTGCGTCTTGAGCATGAAGAAGAGGATGCGGCAGGTCAGCGGGATGTTCATGGAGCGCTGGGCAAAGACGTTGAGAAAGGTGAAGAGCATGGGCACGGAGGCGAAGGGGAGCACGAGGAGGGCGTCGTGGAGGGCCGAGGCCTTGATTCGGCCCAGCACGCTCATGACGTAGGCCTCGGCCGTGATGTTGCCGAGGGCGACGAAGATGGGGTTGCGCTGGGGCGCCGGCGCGGACGGGTTCGTCTTCTTGGCGTCCTCCCACTCCTGGAGGAGGTTGAGGTCGGCGATGGCGATCTCGAGGGCCTCGGCGATGCGTTCTCCGGCCATGAGGGTCTCGACGGTCTGCTTGGAGGCGGCGCCGACTTCGCCTTCCTGGTCCTCGGCGTCCGGGTCGCGCTCGAGCGAGGTGGTGAGGGTCTTTTCGTACAGCTCCTCGATTTCCCTTTCGCGCTCTTCCTCGAGGAAGATTTGCTCGTCCGTCTCGTCCCAGACGCGGATGGACTTGTCGTGGCCTGCCGTGACGAGAAAGTTGCCCGTGTGGCCGACGGCCATGGCCCAGACCTCGCCGTGGTGGCCGTCGAGGCGCTGGATCTGCTCAAACTTGTCGCCGTCCCAGTACTTGATGACGCGGTCCTTTGAGCTGCTGAAGAAGTGGTGGCCGTTGCCGTCCGAGTTGTGGGGGACGAAGGCGACCTGCAGGATGGAGTCCTGGTGGCCGAAGAGGGCCTTGTGGCAGTCGCCAAAGTCGAGGCCCCATATCCTGATATTCTTGTCGGCGGAGCTGGTGACGATAAGCTTGCTGTCATACGAGATATCCATGCTCAGCACCGGGAGCTTGTGGCCGTAGAGGTTGAGGTACAGCTTCAGGCTGTCGGTGAAGAAGACCTTGACGGTGTTGTCGAGGAGGGAGACGGCGATGTACTTGGCATCGGGAGAGTATCTCACGCAGAGGATGTCGTCGGATACCTTGAGTGTTTTTGACTGGACGAGCTTCAGTTTAGGTGTCGTACGCGTGGTGCCCAGAACCGGCTCTTGGACAATCTTAAAGTCCCAAAACTTGGCTGACTTGTCG